TTTCAAAATAACACAACAGCAACAAATGGTCGTGCTCCTGCACAAGAATATAAATTTGTTTGATTTGTGCATCTGAAAAACAGAATCTCAGAGCAGCATTAAGTATTCTTCCAGTGGACATATTTAGCCAACAAGTAGGCTTTTCATGGCGAAATTTCGAAATTTTGTAATTAGACGGTAAAACTACGTTTACTCAGGCTAGTGTCAAATCGCTATTAAAGATTGTGTTTTTCGTTGGGAGAAGAATAACCTACAGCCAAAACACAGGCATCAATAAAGTGCTTAATACTTCTACTTTTGAAATGGATTATTAATTTTCGATGTTATGTTTTCCGCCAAAGACGCGAGGACGTTCTTACGAATGCTTATTTTGGCTAATTTAGACAGCTACTTTTGGCCATGGAGAGCGCGAAATCGGTTTTCTCAAATATTTCCAAAATTCTGAGGTACTTTGGAAATTAAGACCCGAAACCTTCGAAAACTCGATATTAGTTGCCTAAAAATTGAAAATGAAGGTAGATTTAATTTTTGACCTTGGCCGCGATTTTATCGATTTGATCCGGCGTTATTTACTTTTGTGCATTTCCTCTTAAATGTCATTCAACTCGAAAATAGTTCATTTCGTTTGAGGGTGTTAAGCATTTTGCTGTTCATGCGATCATTCTTTTTTTCAGCGGTAATTTTCCTCAAGTGGGTAATTTTTTGAGTAGAAGTGATCTCTCAGGGTTCAGGCCATCCATTATACTTAACTTTACAATCCGGTTCTTGTTAGTTTTGGGGTTTGATGTTATGGACATTAGGTACATGAGCCTGAAAGCCAAGCCAGGGACAAGTTATCCAAAACGCTAAGATAAATGTCAATCACTGGTGGGTTTCTTACTTTAAGTTTAATCAAGATAATTCTGTGCGTCGACAATAGCTATATCTAGTTATAGTTTTGTAGCTCTTTAGAAATTAGAAGTTAAATGTGAGTCCTAGCTCTTTGTTTTCATGTAAATGATTTGAAAATAAAAGTAAACTGATGATTTTTTTCCTCCTGTGTCGTTGGTAATTCAATATCATTATTATTATTATTATGTCGCAGAGAAATCAACTGAATGCTACATTCTAATCAGGCAGCACAGGGCGAAAACCGTAACCTGTGAGCCATGGAGTAAAAAATAAATGTATATTAACTAATCCTAAAAAGCTTTTCCGTTGTGTCTACGGTCCTCCTTCTAACAGGAATTCAAACTGCCACCTTGAAAGTCCGG